TTGTCTGTTTTGCTCACTTCTAAATCCTCAGCAGGAGCTATGGTGGCATAGTGCCTAAGGCATTTGACTGTTAACCATGAGGCTGTCAGTTCAAATCCATCTCAGAAGGAAAACTGGGCAATCTACTTCCATAGACATACAGCCTAGAAAACCCAGGAGGGGTCGCTATGAGTTGGAATTGACTCGACGGCAATGAGTTAGGTTTTTGATTTATATCCCAAGTATGATGACAAGTGTTTGACATATAATAGCTGCTCCATTGAGAAAGGAGCAAATGAAGTAAGCCTCTTTGTATTCTCTATGTGCTTACTGGGATTGTTCAAGACTTTTGTTATCATTATTTAACTTATGATTTCCATGACCTCCTAGAAAACATGGAACTTTAAAGAGCTGTGAGCCAGATACCAAATATCTGCATCTCAACATAGCAGAAATAAACTCCTTTGTTTCTCTTCAAATTAATCTGTCTCCTACTCAATAGTTCGAGAGGTATTTTAGACTTTTCTTTTTCCGTATCTCATTTCCCACTATATTCAATTTGTCATTCTATACAGTACATTCTGCCTCTTTAATATTGTTCACATCCTTCTACACCTTGTCATTCTCTTACTTTGTCATGCTTCGTACTGCCTTAGTTCACAGTCTCTTTATTTCTTACCGGCCTGTTGCAATCAGCTCTCATTGAACCCCTGTCTCCTTCCTCAACCCCCATCATGCCAGTTACTCTGAATATACAGTAATTATTATGAATCACTGGTTTTCCATATTTTTTCTCCTACAACTCAAAGAATTTTGAAAAATTATCTATATTTCCTCATATATAGATAGATATAGATATATACATATATTTAAGTAGACTTGTAAACTTTTTAAGGTAAGTTTAAATACTTACAGAGGATGTTATTTCTGGCATATTTTAATTATTGATATTTTTAAACAAAAAAAAAAAAAATTATGCACCACACTTCTAAATGATTCACACTCCTGTCTAGTAGATTCCGACGAATAGTGACCCTAAAGGACAAAGTGGAATTCCCATAGAGTTTCCAAGACTAAAAATCTTCCAGAAGCAAACTGTCACATAAATTTATCTAATGTACTCTGAATACCATGGTTATATGAGATCTATCTATTTTTGTATCAATAATAAATATAATTATTATGTATAATTAATTTAAATAACTTAAAACTTTTACTTTTTCTCATCAAATTCATTTTTCAATTCCATTTTACCCATAGAATGTCAACCTAATGTATTTTATGTTTGAGAGTCTTTTATTCCGCACTGACCAAAGTTCTTTGAAGCAAAAAGATTTTTACATATTGAAATTATTTTTTTTTTAATTTTTGTGACCATGGGTTCTAAAAATATACATAGTCTTTGTAGAGTTAGCACAATTATTTGTTGTTAGTAGTAGTCAGGTAGATCTGGAGTATAATTATCGGTAGTCCATAAATGATAAACAGCATGAATGTATATCTGGTGATGTATTTTGGTTAAATGGATTGGCAAAGTTTCTTTGCTTAGTGTCTCAATGATTTTGGACGCTGTGACAATACATTGCAATACAATGCAAAATTCAGGAGGGTTAGGAAGTCTTCCTGTTGTCTGTGAATGGGGAATTAGGGATGTTGAGTTTGCATGATTCCTTAAGAGCAGATCCATTTCAGGCAAAGGACTTTGGGAAGGGATTCATGTGGAAATTGAGAATCAGAAACTTGTGTCACTTAAACTATTCAGTCCACAGACTTTTTAGAGAATCTGTGTGTTCCAATAGGTTTTATGACACCTCTTTGGAGACTATTATTTTATATCACAAGTCAGATAAGACCACTCCCCTCCTTAATTTTCAGTGTAGTTCATGGCAACAAGATGTGCTACTCTTGGAAAATACTTGTTCTGCCTCACATCAATCTCACTTTTCTTATCTTTTCCCACTTCTTTATTTTCACCCCAAGCTTTACCTATATCAATCAATTACCATGTTGTGAATATTGCAGTGCTGTTCCACCCATCCATGTCTTTGTACATTTTCTTACTGGCCTAAAGGCAGTCATTTTGTAGAATTGATATGAGATCATTGATACTGGATGGAAAACAGCTATGTATAGTACTTAATAAATGGGGCAATTATGAGTTTCTGATATAGTTACTATGCAATGACACAAGAGTTTCAAAATCTGCCTTCAACTTTAGAGAGGTAAGTGGCACAGTCATCAATTCTATTGTTTTCTTCAAACATGTTGAAAACTCAGAATGAGTTCAAGCAATTGAAATTAAGGGATAACCAGAAAGCTGTCCTAGGACTTTAACGATCCAATGAAAAAGCAATAAATTATCTGTTACAACAAGCGCATGTAAATATTTGTGAGATAGAAAGAATTTTAAGATGACCACAAGATTCTCAACCATTGTTATATATACAGTGTATAATCCTTGCCCCTTGAATATATGAGGAAGTTGTGAATATGATAGAATTCAACTCCTGTATTAGTTTATGATATGTATCAAAGGTGAAGAGATTTTGCCAATATGCAGTTAAAGTTTCAAATCAGTTGATTTAATTAACTGGGAAATTTTCTCGGGTAGGCTTAACCTAATCAGATGATCCTTTCAAAAAAAAAGTTGCCATATTTTGGAGAGAGCCATGTGGAGGGAATGGCAAACAGTTAGTAGAAGAAGCTGAGGTCTATCACACAAGAAATTTAATTTTGCCAAAAGCCACTGAACGTGGAAGGGAATCCTGAGCATTAGCTGAGACTGTCAGCCTGGCCGACAACTTGCTTGTGGCTTTTTGAGACTCTGAGAGGAGGACCCACTTGAGTCTTGCATAGGTTTCTGATTCACCAAAATATGGGATAATAAACATATGTTGTTTTAAGACACTAAATTTTTGGTAATTTGTTATGAAACAATAGAAAATTAATAAATAATTGAAACAACCAGAAAATTCATGTTTACATTATAGGCTTTACTATATATGTAAGCTAAAATATTTGGCAGAATATTCATTAAACATTATCTCTTATGCATTCCAATATATCAATTTTATCTCATTCATTTTAGTAAGTGTGAAGTCTGTGCTTTCATATATTATAGTATAAAAACTAGTAATTTCCTAAAATAACCTATTTCTAAAATATTCCTAAGGCTCAAATGTCTTTATTAATCTGAACTCTATAGGTTTGGCTCATAAACTCTCCTACCATTTTCCTAGAATTCTTATCCCATAAGCACCACACTGTCTCTAACAAATCCATCAGCATTGTTGCTTGTTACTTGCATAATTAGCCCTTTCCTACTTAGACAGAACAAAAGAAGCCTATGTAATAGGAAGTGTAGTATTTATTATATTTCTTTTCTCCCAGTTTTTTTTTTTTTAATAGTCTAAAGGTTGTTTTGGAACTGAAGAGGAGGCAACATTTAGATTTTTAGTGTGTGCATGTCAATTGCAGGTGAGTGTGCATATTAGTGCACAGAGTTGCCTGTGTGTGTGTGTTTATGCTTATCTTATTCCAGAGAAGATTTATAAGAATATCTAAAGCATATTAAAGTGAAGGGAAACAGTTGGATTGTTGGACTTAAATAGTCTAGAATGATGTAAAGATTAATGAAATTAAACAGTCAATAGTGGAACTAACCCTTTTATACAGAGCAATACTATCAGAGAAGTCATCTTTTATTTTAAAAGACAAAACAGATGATTCTGTTTCCTTGGAACATTGTGGCCCACTCTGAGAGGCTTCCAGATCCTGCAGTTATTTCACATATGCCAGGAACATCCCCTTTCTATGGGTTTTATTTTAGTGTTCAAAATATTTCCTTTCATTAGCAGGTCTAAGTGGAGAGAGATTGCTTTAACAGTACCATGGTATGGATAATATAGGATTGGGCTTGTTCAGAGGAATTGTATTATAATATAATATATTTACATATATAATATATTTACGTTTCTTTACCAGAAATATAAATGTTTTGTATGTATGTAAACATGTATCTATTATCTCATTCCAAATAATGGCTTTATTAAAATTCATAAATATATATATATATATATATATATATTTATACACACACACACATACCTTTCTATTATCTAGTAAAGTTATAACACTATTATTCCTTATTAAATTGCTTTTAAAGCATTTTAGACTTCAGTCATGAAATAAGGCTTATAGTCATAGAGATAACATTTCTATAACCAATTATTATCCTATATTGTTTCAGAGAAGAGAAAGAAGTCAGTGATTTAGCCAGGGAGGAGAGAACTAAGTATTCATCAAGTGATACTACAAAGCATGTGAGAAAAAGAGTTTTTACTGATTTATTTAAATAAATTCAGCAGAGTTGGATAAAGGCTTCCAACCAAATTCTAGAAGAGGATCATAGGACTGCAAATATCTAGGTTGAGGCGCAATACAAGCTGTATACAAGAGCAGCCAAGGAAGTGGAGTTCAGCTAGTAAAGACTAAAGGCGCCTGTGAGAAGCTACTGTTGGATTTACTATTCTTCACTGCAACCACTGCTATTTACCAGACACAATCATTTGTGTCTGGTAAATAGACACAACTGATAAACAATCAGTTGACAGCTCAAGCTATGTGCCCAGGGAGGAAATGTAAGGTGACAGAAAGGATACAGGATTGAAAGCTAAGAATCTAAGGTTCCAGCTTCTACTACCTTAATGACTTTGTCATACTGCACATATTCCCTAATCTTTGTGGACTTTTCCTTTTTTTGATAGCATTAGTTTAGGCCTTTACCAGAAATAGAAATGTTTTGCATGTATGTGTGCATGTATCTATTTATCTCTTTCCAAATAATGGCTTTATGAAAATTCAAAAGATGAGTTGGATTATGTAACACATTCTTAAAATATTAAAACCTGCAGACATTAAAGCTTGAAGTAAAATCGTTGTTAACCTGTCTCATTGGTAATCGCCAGTTTAGATCCAGTTTGTGAGAGGAAAAGGAAGCAATAAATTTGACCCTAACTTACCACACATTTTAATTGCACAATACTCCCAGGGGGTGTCAGGGTCAAGAGTATAGCACCATGGCCTCGGCTTGCCATCAGGATTGCGGCAATAATTATCATCAAAGCCCTTGTCGGGATATCTGCAAACCACACCAAGAGAAGTGTCAAGTAAATCTGCCTGAAAACACCACCCAGCAGTCAACTCACAAAATAATTTTCCACTTACCTCAGCTATTACTAGCTGAGGAAAGAGGAGGTTTACTATATCTCCTCTTATAAGGATAGTGAATTATTGACTATGGAATCCATTAACTCATATATTCCATCCCCTTTACTCATAATTTAGGTTTATTTGGTATAATATCACTAGTTGAAAGCCCAAACTGAATATGCTTCTCAAAGATTCCAGTGAAGGACAGATTACGTAAACACGATGTCCTGTAGAATGCTCATTAAGAAAGCAGATCCTCTTCTGGGCAAGCTTTAAGTTCCAACTGAAAGCTAGATTTCAAGAGCCTTATTACTCATGATAGCTCAACTGTACAAATAGAACCTTTTGGGGTAATGCCCTTACCTCTACCAAACCAAGAGACAAACTCCATCACACCACTTTCTCCACCTCCCTCCTTAAATGAACAGAGTCCTGATTTAGTGACTTGATTTTAATTGCTACCATATCCCTTCCTCTCCTACTTAAAAATAAGGGATGCATTTACAAAAAGTAGAGTTTTAATTTCACTTAAATGAACCACTCATTTTCCTCTTCCTGCACCTAAAACGAGAGAGATAAAAAGAAGGAAGAAAAAAAATAAAAACAAAAACCCACTATCCTAGCAATTTCTAAATAAAGGTGGGAATGGAGTTTTCCCTGTAAATATTTGTATTTTTTTATATATAATAAAACTATTTTCTTTTTTTCAACTAAAATTTTTCATCTGAAATTAGTGGGCAAAAGGAGACAGTATTTTTTTTTTTCATTATTTAAATTCAAAACCTACTCCTTTGGAAAAAGAGCCCTGGTGCCACTGTGGTGACAACATTGGGCTGCTAACCAAAAAAGGTCGGCAGTTCGAACCCAGCAGCTGCTCTGCAGAAGAAAGATGAGTCTGCTTCCCTAAACATTTAGCCTTGGAAACTGTATAGGGTACTTCTAGTCTGTCTTATAGAGTCTCTATGAGTTGGAATCAACTTGATTGTAGAGGGTAAGACTGGGTTTTATTACCGAGAGTGAAAAAAAAAAATTGAATTGTCTGCTTCTCCAGATTGACTGTCCATATTGGCAATTTCAAAACACACCAGAAAAAACAACCAGATAATTATTTGCTCCACCTTTCATTCCCTTTTCTGCAGGCATGATCTATGTCATGGCATCGTACATGTGATCCCTCAGGACTTGGTCACTGAACATGCTGCTCTAGAAAGACATTGGCTTGAATTGCAATAGCGGCTCCTCTGTAGCTCAGGTCTGTCAAAGAGGTCAGTTTTCAATGGTCCCCTGTCTTTTCTTTGCTATGAAAGAGAAAGAGGGGGCTTCTGTTTGTGCTTCCCCTGTGCACTCTGTTTAGGACTGCCCTGATTTCGGGGACTTTTAACCAAGTCAACGAAGACCACTTTAAAGTGTAGCTATTCTCATATACCTCTTCACAAATTCCTTTGCCCAAGACTACCTCCGCTGAATGTAATGGCTCAAGCAATTTTGTCAGTTCTAATTTTATGTTAATGTCTTAGTAGGAAAAGATCATGTAAAGGGAATTTCAATGGCCATTTGTCATGAAGCAAATAATAGGCAGTTTGAAAAACACTTGTTACAAGCATGAGTCAGTGGTATTTTACCTCTCTGGCAGGAATTTGTGCCGGTGTGGTGTCTGATGATCCCAGCGCTGGCAAATCTTGCCTGATTCTGTATGATCCATAGGACCTCGATAACTTTCCCCATTGCAGGTCATACATTCAACTAATAAAATTAAAATATGGTATGTTAATTGTTTCTGACAGCAAAATCAAGGACACCACTGTTCCATTTAAAGAATAGAAAATTATCTGTTTGGAAAAGAGATTTTTAGAAATCTCTACACACGATTCTACTTTTAAATTAGGACCTAACATCCATAAATCATGGCATAAGGCACTCCCCATGGAACTCTTCAGATAGCTTAAATAGGATTTTTATAATTAGGGTCTCCAGATTTACTATACAGCCTGTCCTCCTCGCCCCCCTCAGCTAATATTCAGTAATTGTATAAAGGCACCTGAAAACTGGGCATGGAAGATCAACACTTGTGGGCTTTTTCCTTACTGGTCTATAGTGGAGGTGATCTCAGTATCAATGTAGTCAGAACAATAGTTAGTCTTTCTTATCTTTCCTCATCCCCCCCCAAAAAAAAGGAGTTATGCAATTTTAATTGAGTAGTTATACTCTTACAATTAAGTCATAATCAGGACCAGATAGATTTGAGAAACTGTCTTCATTTAAAAATCTGGAATTATCCAAAGAACATAGATATCTTAACAAATCATAGCTCCTTTACATTAGTGAGCATCCATGTCAAGTAGGCTGGTTAGGTTAACATTCTTATCTAGCTTAGGATAGAAGGTGACCTGCTATTGAACTCCTAGTATCTACTCTTTTTTAAAAGTATAAAGCTGATCTAATTCCACAGGATCTTACTGATGATTCTGTGAGGCTAATTAACAGTTCTCTTTTGGCTGGCCTTAAATGTCACACTGAAAGCTCTGAATCACATCAACCAGCTGAAAACGAGACTACTCAAATGGACAGGTTGATTTGTAGCATGGCAGGCATCCTGTGAAATAAATCATGGCTTGCCTTTCCTACGAATCCGGCAAACTTCCCCAAACACATCATTTGTATCTAGTGATTACTGACCATCTAACTTTAGCTAAAGTGGGGAAAGACATCAATGTGCAGTTTTATCTACCAGGATCTATCCTGATGAGAATTTGTAGTACTTTGGGATATAATATTAGAATCATCACTTTTGAACTTTTTATTTTTATAATCTAATAGGGTATTAACTATTAACTTTCTGAAACAGGAGACCGTTTGTCTTGAGCTTTCTTCCTTTATGTAGTTTAATCCATGAACTAAGACAAGGAACCAATTCAGCTTCCCTTTATTTGATACTGAGATTCCCCATACTATGGTCAATAAGCACCTGAACTGTAAATGAGAGGGGCCCAAGAGCATATTGATAAAGGTGCTTGGGTTAACCAAGGTCATTTCCACATTGAAACACTCAACCTAGGTCATGCATCATCACATTTCAGCTTCTCAATTGAACAGGGTACAGATTTATTTAGTTCTCTTTTTTTTAAGAATGTAATATTTTGATATATTCATAGAAAATGATATGGCATTTATCATTGCTGCTCACTCCTTTATACTGAAGGAGAAAGTAGAATAGAAGACCATCCATGTAAGAAATAAGTATACACATGTATAATTTCTAACAATGTATAGTATTCAGGAATCAGAATATAACTATTGTATATTCTTCAGCAAATGCAGTTTGTAATAGTATATCCTTTTCTAATGAGAGTGAGTAGGATTAGTTTCTGAGAAGCTGTACTAGGGGCATAATTATAAAATGTTTTTCCTGGGCTTAAAGACTTTTAATTTTCTTAAGGAAGAAACAACTCTACAAATGAAATAGGTGATTCTATGAGATGACTCTTTTCCAGAAATGATCATGATAAACCAATGCTTCTCCAAACTTTAATGTTCATAGAAATCACTGTATGATCTTGTTAAAGGGAAAATTCTGCTTCAGGGGTTTGGGGCTGGGGCATTAATAACAAGCTCCCAAGGGATACTGATGCAGCTAAGACTAGCATAAAGTACACTTTCACTAACATTTCACTAGTTTGCAGACGATAGGTTCTATTGTAAAAGTTCTAAATATTTGCCAATGATGGCTTTTTAGTACAGACTAGATTTTACTTGGAACTTGAAGGATGAATGAGAATTGGATAAGCTGTAGAGGGGTAAAATAACATAAAATGGCACAAAGATATGAATTAGGATGTTATATTTGTGGTAAAATGAGGAAAGAGTTATGATGCATACGACCTTATTGAGGAAAAAAACAAGCTACCAGGAATAAGGTTAGGTTTTAAAAGTTAATGAAAGTTGTTGTTGAGGTGAGAACTAAATGTGTTCTGTAATAGAACTAAGATACTGATTATATTACATTTGTATATTCTCTGACTATACATATGAAATATACGATTTCATTTATCATTGCAATGAGGAAGACAAGGCTCACAAAAGTTGTAAGGAACTTACCCCAAACAGAAAATCAAACTGGATCTGGAACACAGGTCTTCTGACCCATAGTCCAGTGTTCTTTCCATTATTCCTAAATGTCTTTCATGCCCTACATATTTTAACTTGTTTCCTACACATTATAACTGGCCATACTTTAGGATAAACTGATAGCAATAATGTTAGCAATTCAAAACCCCTGCCTTTTACAAAATTGTCCTCATTACCCTCTGCCATCTTGTTTATAACAGTGGGTTGGCTTCTGTTGGATTCTCACCTATTGAAGAACTGGAAAAAGGAGCATATGGGAAAATAATTAGATTGGCCATCTTATCCAAGGTGAATGGCTGAAATTTTTGGTATTTTACCTTGCATTAAACCATCAGGTTAGCCATAAAAATTAGCTCAAGCAAGTCAAATTTTGAAGTCATATTCACTTCTCAAACTTCCAGAGTTCTAAGAATCTTCCAAGTTTCCCAACCCAAAGTCAAACAGTCCAGGTAGAAGCCAAGTTCACCTATTCACAAAACCAAGTGAAAGCACCGACTATGTTAACAGTGCCTGAGGGTGAGAATTTCCCTTTTTGCTCTTCTTTGTTTGGATGCTTCCAGAAAATTCTTCCCTTTAAAAATACAAAAGCAAAACACTGTCCTAGGTCACATAAATTATATAAAAATTCCTTTTCTTAAGTATAATATGTTTCCTAAGTATAGCTGGTGCCTACATGATAGTAGAAAACTAGGAAAGTTATATATATATATATATAAACATATATACATATATATACTGTAATAGAAGTAGGGTTGATGTAGCAAGTTTCTCCTACTAATTGAATAAACTGAAAAAAAAATTTTGTGTTCTATCTTTATCAATCATAAAACCACAGGTAGTCTGAGTTTACAGACTAGGATAAATATTTTGAAATTATCTGAATCTATTTTTGATCAGTGTTTATTTTATTCTAGTAAGGATGATCTCTAAGAAAAAAATAATCCATGCTGGTGATTACTTCAGCAAAACTGAATGTTTAAAGTGAATAGCCTCCCAAATCCACATTTATAAATACTAGTTTTTTAAAAAAATCTTTGCTTTTTAATGTCTTTATCCACACAGGATATGGAATTACATACATGAAACTGTGGCAGTATCATTTGGGAATTTTAAGTATAAGGTTTAAAAAATAATGATTATGATTTAATGAAAATGTGTTTATGTGGATATTGACAATCATTAAAAAAGACATTTGTCCCAATGACTAATGATTGATTTCTTTTCAATCCAAAGCAAATGTTAAAGCAAGAAATTGGATTTTATATACCTCAACTTTCTATAATTTTTCAATTAAGTATTAATTTCATTTACATAACTATATTGTTGTAGTTGGGTGCTGTTGAGTTGGTTCCAACTCATAGTGGCCCCATGTGACAAAGTAGAAGTGCCCATACAGCTTTCTTGGCTGTAATCTTTAAGGAGGCAGATCTCCAGGTCTGCTCTCAGAGGGTCATGGAGTGGGTTTAAACTGCTTCACTTAGCAACCAAGAGGTTACCCATTAACACCACCAAGGCTCTGATTACATAACTATGTGAGGTTCGAAATGTGATTTTAAAAAGTATTCATTTTCTTTTGGAATGCTTCATATTTTTCAAAGCTTTAAATGCTAAGAAAATCACCAATATTAGCCATTGGATATCAGATATATTTCTTTTATGAATCAGAATTTCAAATAAATTCCAGATGATTATTTAGCCAAGAGTGTAATATAGTTATAAATATTTCATAAAATATATCCTATTTTATGTGCTTTCTTCAAAAGAACAATGCAATCTTTGACTACAGATATTTTTCTTGTTCAATTTTACATGTACTAAATGACTTGATGATTACTTCCTCACCCATAATGATAAAGGACAGAAATAACCTTTGGAGCTTGCCATTGAATATATTAATATCAATAGACAGAAGTGCCTCACCCTTTATTCCAGTTAAGCATTCTCAATTTTGAGGTTTCTCCCTCATGTATTTATTTTATTAATTAAAAAATTGTTATCAAATATCTATTTTATTTTGTGTTTTTTATAATCTTTTTAATAAATTTTATATGATCTATTGTATAAATTTATGTTTTCTATTAATGTATTGAAAATGCTTCTTAATTTTGAATCCTCTTTATTAAAATCCTGCTAAAACATTGTTCATTTTAGTTTGAATTTAAATATCACAGCTCATTTTATACTTCCTGAAAGATGTTTAGCCTACAGGGAAGATGTTGGTTCACTTCCCTCACAAAAAGGTTATTCTGCTACTGTCATACATCTAATTGTTTCCAGAAAGAGCATATTTGCAGCTTTTAGTATCATGAGGACAAATAGCATCACGTACCATGAATACCAATGAGTAGTGTTCTTTTCTAAGGGAGGTACAATGAGCTCAAATTATTAAATAACATTAGTGAGTTAATTCCAATGAGAGAAGAACAACTGGAAATATGATTTCTCTAATTACTTGTTTTCTAGCATTTGTTATTCTAAATCATTTGTCAATCAATCCAACCTATGTCATTGTATTTTGATGAAGGTTCTTATAAACCAGGGGTTGAAAAATCACATTCCCATACAGTTAATTAAGTAAAATAATACTAAGCTATTTCTAAATTGACCAAGTTACTTGTCTATATAAATACTTTGCCAGGTCAAGCAAAACCAATAAACAACATATCTTGCCAATGATTTTAAACCTCAGAAAATTGTGATATTTGAGATTCCCCTAGAAATAGGAATTTTTTGCTTCCATGTGTAAATTTAAGACAAGTATAATTTACGAACTTACTCATACAAAACAGACTTGTTCATAACGTTATCATAGATAAGTTTATTATTTTTAAAAGAAAAGAAACAATGAAGAAAGTTATAGTGAACAGAATATGATATGAAATGGAAACTGAGAATTTACAAACAAGAGGTGGAACTGGCTCTAGCACATGAAGTTAGGACTTTAAGTTAACTAACAACAAAAAAACAAATTCACTTTCTCGGTGACAATTAGCTAACAGTGGCCTTTACTCTTATGTGATAAATACCAGCCTAATATTAAATGTTTATTTATGGAAAAAAAATTTTCAAAAAATACTTTAGTTAACAACAAACAGGTAAGAGACCTTACTACAAAAATTGGACCGCATTCCAGCAACCCCCAACCTCCAAGTATTTTAAAATTCTACTAAATTTCTAACAGAATTTAATCCTCATTTCAATTGAATTTTTTAGAATTTTAGAGTTTCTGACATAATTAAGAAATAAAACAAAATAAACAACCACAAAAAGACCCAGCAATTCATTAGCCAGGTAACTAAGAAAATTACACTACATACAGTGATGAAATGGTTACTCTTTCTTCTTGTCAGTTATTCAGTTTTCCATTGCAAAAGTAAAGAAAGTGCCCATTTATGTTGTGAGAGGAGGTACGAACATAGACATAGATTTAGGGTGCCTGCCTACAAGACAGCTTGGGATCCATTGCTTGGGATCTCTTTAGATATTTTCTGAGTGGTACTCAGTTATAATCTATGTGTTAAATTTGGTTCTAGTCACATTTTCACCAAAACACACATGGGGACTGTCAAACTTCCAGTTATCCCTCCCACATTCTCTTCTGGACTCATGAACCATTGCCACATCACTTCAGGATAGACTTGACATTTCTGCAGAAGCAGGTGTCAAATGAGTAGAATTAGCATTACTAATAAAGGACTAACTTCCATTTGTCCCCTTTCAGACAAGTACAGGAGCATATTTTGAGATATATGAGCTCAAGACAGTAGTAAATAAGCCCATTCTTTTTCTCTCCCAAGGGCTGTCTCAGGTTCTGTTGAAATTTAAACTAATATCTCAGTCCACTATCTTGGGCTAAACTGGTGATAATCATAGATTTTTAAAACACTATGTAAAAATTGTAAAAAAAAAATTATGCATATTTGCATTTGAATGAACAACATATTTATTGTGATTTGATTGTTTCTGTTCACCTTTAATGTGAGTTACAGTTCCACACATGGGGGAACAGGGTGCCCCAGATGGCATTCAGGTTCATTTACCTTCTGAACACTGAGGAATGTCACAGACTTCGTAGCGTACCTCTGGATTGCTTGTGAAACACCACGGTCCCCCTTCTTCCCCTCGAGGATTTCGACAGTAGTTTTCCTGTAGGTCTTTACCTCGATAGCTCGAAGGCAAAAAGCTAGTTTTAAAATGATAATCATTACAGTATAAGAGCATGCAACTTTACTTTCAATTTATTAATTTTACTAATTAGCAGGTATGTTTTCCTTGAAAGTAAAGTAACTCTTTATCTAAGACCTCCACATATTGTAACTCGAGTTTTGTCATTTGTATTCATTCTTAAAATACTAAAATTTCATAAACGTTAACTGAATTTTAACATCACTGTCAAAGAAAAAATGATTAGCCTCTAGATTTACTAAGAGCCAGTCATTCTAGAACTTAATTGAAATTACCTGAACCATGATTTCAAAGCTCCAATCAAAGGCAACAAGTGAATTTCTTGTACTTAAACTTTCTAATACATTAGTTAGAGTTTTGTTTCAGCATGAAGTATTTCAACACATCAGAAAACTCCAAAGGCTTTTTATTATGTTGTATTGCTTGGAGCTCTGATAGCATAGTGCGTAAGACACTTGACTGCTAAGCAGAGGGCTGGCAGTTCAAACCCACCAGCCACTCCTCAGAAGGAAGGTTGGGCAATCTACTTCTGTAGTGATACTGCCTTGGAAACCCAAGGAGGGGTCGCTATGAGTTAGGTCCGACTTGATGGCACATAACAACAGCAGCGTTGCTTGGATCAATGGACTCAAAAATACTGTATTTATCTGCTAGACTGCATTTAAAAAGTAATAATAAATAAATTTGCATCTATAGATAACACAAGGAGCCCTGGTGAGGCAGTGGGTAAAGCACTTGGCTGCTAACCAAAAGGTAAGCTGAACCCACCAGGCAGGAGAAAGATGTGTCAAGTCTGTACAGATTTGCAGCCTATGGGGCAGTTGTACTCTATGCTACAGGGTCACTATGAGTTGGAATAAACCCAGTGGCAGTAGGTTTGGTTTTAGGTTGATATAGATAAAACTAGTAAAATTTTCTTTGAAAATCCAATTCCATTTTCAATGTTCAGTACCATTTTTGCTATACTAATTTTTGCATTTACTAATCTATCAGTTCTTCATGGTATTTAAATTAGAATCATATTCAAGGATTCTACATATTCAAATATCCAATGAAGAAATAAGCGTTTTTCTTTATGTTGACACAAATAGACATGCACTGGGTATCAAGCAAGATTTTGTAATGAAATTCTTTCATTCAGACATGAATGAACACCAAAGAGTTAAGTCCTCAGAAAAATATAAATTATTGGTCAAAAAGAAGTCTATTCTGAAAGACATAATATGAGCTGAGCTATTTCAGGAACCTGTGAAATACCATTAGCATTATGCAATGCCAAAGTGTCTTTAGATAAAGATTTTATACCCTATTTCACTAGCATTTTAAAGATGGGGAAACAAAAACAAAGTATTAGAGCATATATGATTGCTGTAAATGTATAATGCACTTAAATGGCATCATGATTTCACAGTTCTTAACAGTAATTATTTTTCATAGGAATATATAGTGATATATCTTTAATTCTTAGTTTTTGCCCCATCATTCCAGAAGAATTTAGGATATATTTTGTTAGTGCTATTGCTTAAAAAATATTTTCTTTCCATTTTTGCTACTTCCTCAACTTTTTATAATAAATTTATAATGAAAATACCCATTTCCTGACAAAATCAATAACATTTACTTTTTTTTTGTATAAAAGATTATATTAATCAAATTTGTTTAAGGAAAATCTACTGTAACTCAAGTTTTATTTAAAAATCTGGGTATATTTTAATAGTCCTCAAAAGTTACTGTTAATCACTTAACCTACATGTTTGCCTTGTATGTATCACTACCCTTCCATGCTACATTAGTCCCTAGACAATTGGTTTTCTGGGTTTCAGTTTCTTCATTATAAGATGAATGGAGTGAACTATTACAAGGTTCTATTTCCTGTATCATTTTATACATTATGCTTACTAAGAAGCTAAATAGTGGTTTTTGCATATGTTAAATATAAAAAAATCCATCGTTGTTGAGTTAATTCCAACTCATAGCAACCCCACAGGACAGAGTAAAATTTCCTTAAAGAGTTCCCAAGGCTTTAAATTTGCAGAAGTATACTGTCACATTTTTCTCGTATGAAATAGCTGGTGGGTTCAAATCGCCAACCTTCCAGTTCACAGCCAAGCACTTAACTACCATGTCACCAAGGCTCCTTATTGTTAAATATACAATGCATTAAATATTTACAGTTTTAGAATTTCTATTCCATCCACACATGCACACAGACACTCATAAATAAGTGCATATATATATATACACCTATATCTTTCCAGTGCATTTTTGAAACCACAAAGAAACTGTGAAGAACTAGTGAATGAATCAAAGATTTAGAGGAAAAATGAATGAAGTAGAAATGAAAACTAGGTATGGGTGAAATACACTTAAAGTATTCCTGCCAGAGTTAACAAAATGAAAAATTAAGAGAAAAGACAGGCTTATTTCCACAATCTGGTATTAATCCATATCAATGTGCTCTTTAACATGTGGATGATAAAAACCAGTAGGGATCATCTCTTCATATCCTAGTGTATATGACTTGTACCCAAGTTAACCAATATTCTTTGTGCTTCCTATAGTATTTAGCCTGTTTTTCTTTATTATCCCATACTTGGAAGGCATGAATACTAGCCTTGAGTTTTTCATATATGTGTTCATACAAGAAATATTATGAGAATCTATTACAAATAAAGGAACCCTGGTAGCGTAGTGCCTAAGACACTTGTCTGCTAACCGGAAGGCTGGTGGTTCAAATCCACCAGACACTCCTTGGAAGGAAGATGGGGCAATCTACTTCTGTAGTAATACTGCCTTCAAAACCCAAGGAGGGGTCACTATCAGTTGAGTCCAACTCGACGGCACATAACCACGACAACAACATTAGAAATAAACCCAACCAACTTCACAGCTATTGAGTTGATTCTGACTCATAGCACCCTCCATCGGGTTTCCAAGGCTATATGGAAGCAGACTGCATCACATTCCTTCTGTGGAGCAGCTGGTGGGTGTAAACCTTTTGGTTACCAGCTAACTGCCTTAACCACAACAACACCAGAGCTCCTTTTATAAGACCTGTGGTATTCCATGGGCTCTGTAATAAAGCTTTTATTTGTATATGTACATAATATTGTTGGTTCTCTATTTTTACTGTTAGCAAGGCTTTGAGATAAGTGAAAATATATTTAAAGTTGGATTATATCCAAACATAGTTTGAAATATAAATTAGATTTTCTGGGTGCTAGCCTCTCTTTCTTTTCTTTTAATATAAACTGTGTTCATTGGAAATTTGATCTGTTCCATCATCTGCTTCACTAATGAATGCTGGGTGGCCAATGAAGGATACAGATGTAGATATCAGGTCACCTGATTTTCTGAGTAAGCTACTATATTAATTTCATCATCTATCATCATCTTCCCATTAAGCCAATTGTAAAATATTTTAATGTAGGGAGTCAACAATAAATCACTTCACTAGCCAGAGACAATTTTTTTTTTACCATTTCCCATAAAATTAATCTTTGGTTAACACTTAACTGAAAAGTGTTAAGCCATCATGCAGATATCCCAATAAGTTTCTAACTGATGAAAATTAAGTGTTTCTCCTGATGTCCACAAATAAGGATTTGATTAATATACATGATCTTCCAGACATAAACCTCTACATCACAAAGAAATGTTCATAGTAAAACAGCTTATTGAACTGGGAAGCCAGTTCCCAGGGAGATCTATTACACATTTACTCATCTAGCAGAGAATCACAGTCTTAGAGAATTTGGGTTGAAATAAGACCTCTACTGGGTCAGTCTGGTGCACTCTTCTGGACTAGGGTAGGATTGATTTCAAATGTTATTCCTTTGTTCATGAAAAACTTAACATTTCTTCAAGGACAGATCTACTATTTAAATAAAATTCTTCATCATCCAGGGATTAACACCTGGAAAATCCTTAAGAAAAGACAAAACCAATTATATATGTATCTATACATACATATACATACATATATATATATATATATATATATATAATATTATATTTGAGAGGCATTCCTATATAATTGTAAGTAACTAATTTGTAGAAAGAAAGTTTTTCTGTATTTGTAATACTGCAGAGTGCTACAGACCTTGGACACTTATTAGTTGGTGTGTATCCTGAGAACACAATATCGATCTCAGTATGGGACAATAAATCCTTTTTTTTTAAGAAATGTGAGCCAATTAGATAACTCTACTCTGCTTACTGAAGTAAAATCATCTTGCAAAAGTTTGCCAAGACAAGTGGAACGGCATAGGTGGGTTCATCATGGCAAAGTCATCCCTCCTATTACCAAAGCAACTCACAGAATGTACTCTACTGGTTGGGCAATATTTCCTGCCCTGAGGTTGTTAAGAGCACAGGTTATAGACGGCATTCTGGCCATATCACTTACTAGATGTGAATGACCTTGAGAAAATTACTAAGGTTTTTTCTGCTTCAGTTTCATAAAATAGAACTAATAAGATTGTTTACACTATGCGAGTCTTGTGAGGATTAAATAAGATAAACTAGATACTCTGCAAATCAAGGTGTTTGGCACATGGCAAACTCTCATTAACATCTTTACAAATTAGGAAGAAAATATTATATCTAAAATTTCAGCTACGTTATATATTTTCAGAGCTTTTAATAACCAGGGGGCAGCTGTCCAATTCCTGTTGAATTTATTTGTGAAATAAATTTTGAAAATCTATGACTGTAGTTAGTTCTTTACTGTGTATTTCATATCTATGTTTCTTTTCCATAATGATTAAAACCCTCAAACTAATGGACCTATGGATGTAATGATTACTCATCTTTAAACAGTATTCATCTGTAACAATGGACACAATTTTCCTCATAAGCATAGAAATGAATTTCCAAGGAATAAGAAGTTATTTCCAGGCATTAGACAATAGATGAAATGAGAAATCTAGTCCATCTGAAGCAAGAATTCTTAGTTCTTGATTTTGGTTCCACTTTGAAATCATCTGGGGCGTTTTAAAAAAGTATTTGTGCCTGGACTATCTTGCAGGAGATTCTGACTTGATTTTTTGCATTGCTATCTGGACAGTGAGATTATTACAGACCTCTACAGCAGGTCATTTTAATGTACAGTCAAGGCTGAGAACTACCAAGATTATAAGGATCACTCAGCCTTCAAGTAGGTCAGAGTTTGATTCACTTTGGGGTTTGTCATAGTCTCTCCAGCTTCTTTGTCTTATACCAAAGACAAAGAAAGAGAGTAAGAAGATTTTATTTTAAATTGTTGCATTATTTCTTTATAAACACCAAGATCTATAAATTGAGACATTGGAGTAAGATAATGATAGACCACATCTTAAAGATAAATTTATTTTTCTTTTCCTAAATATTGGTCATGAGTTCCCATACATCTTGGCCTAATACAATTTAATGAAGTTGGTCAGGTTATTATAAACCTGGTAGATTATTCTGAAGAGGTAATGTCAGATTGTCAACATATATTTTAAAAAGAGAGGCTCCATCCTCTTTTCATCATGCTGCTCTTACCTGTGTTCATGTGGTATCATGGAATTCCAGGGCTGGCATTTGATGCCGCTCTTAGTGATAGACACCGTTCCCTTGTAGCTGCCTCCTTTACCAATGATGCAGTTTCTAATGTAGTCTGTCGGAAGACAGCAGAGATAAGTGTTATAACTACATGAAAAATGTGCTGTATTTATCAGAGAAAAATTAAAATAAAATTCCATTCAAACCTCTAAATAATTAACATTTAAAAACTAATTCAAATAATATTGAAATTTCTTTCTTAAATCTTCTTCTAGTATTTTCAAAATAATACATTTGAATAATACTAAACAGAAGAAGACAATTGAGAACTTTTAATTTTGTGTGTATGTTGTGTTTAGGTGCTGTCGAGTTGGCTCCAACCCATAGTGACCTTATATACAACAGAATGAAACACTGTCTGGTGTGTATGTACATGGATAATTGCAAATGTTAGTCTACGTACTCAACATTACTTCCACTTTTGGCTGGGCCCATCTAATTTGGCAGATCTGATTTATGCAAATAGATAGTCCATTTTAACAAAATACTGAAAACAAAAATTAAGTATTTTAAAAACCTAAAAAGGAGCTCTGGTAGCATAGTGGCTAAGGGACTTGACTGCTCACCAGATGGCTGGCGGTTCAAACCCATCAGCCACTCCTCGGAAGGAAGGTTGGGCAATCCTACTTCCATAGTGATACTGCCTCGGAAACCCAAGGAGGGGTCGCTATGAGTGGGGCCGACTCCACGGCAAAACAACAACAACAGCAGCAACGTATTGAATTCAGAAAGCTACCTTAAGATAATTAAGAAATTAAGTTATATAAGTTGTTTAAATTTAAATTAAATTTACTAAATAACAAAGTAAATTAATATACCTTCTTTAGCTCCATATAATTGTACAGGTCTGTGTATGTGTGTGCATGTGTATGTCAGCGTGAGAGAAATAAATAGATAATTACATTATGTTGATTATTATTTTCCAAGAGGGCGACCAAATTGCAATGAGCTTTATTTTGTTATGAACAGTTTAGGGAGAAGGGAGTTACCTTTGTTTTCATACAGGTCAAATTCATGGCCGAATTCTTTTTTCACTCCACTGGACATGCTATTGAAAGGGAACCAGAGGCATCGTTTCTTTGCCTTATCAAAAACAAAGGCCCTGAAAAAAATATCTGAATGAAAAGAAGGAATACTACTATTTATACAGTTTTCAAAGAATGGACACATGGTTTACCAAGGAGGGGAATACAAAAACAGATGCTTTATTATATACACATAAGAAGAACATGACTGATATTTGAAACTGCCATTTTGATAGCCAAACAAGAAAGCATAAAAGTTATTTTAAGTTTTGTTTTTTGAGTTTTGTTAGCTCTCGTTGGTGCAGATAGCATGCTTGGCTGATAATGAAAGGTTCACAGTTTGAGTCAATCCAGAAGCTCCTCAAAAAAAGGCCTAGGGATCTTCTGAGAAAAAAAAAAATCTGCCGCTGAAAACCCTAAGGAGCAATTTTTGCTCTGACATGTGGGATCACCATGCGTCAGAACTGACTCCACGGTGACTGTTTTCTTGTTCTGGAGAGATTTAAATACAACACTGAATACTATTTGGAATTCCCTTGCGTAATTTTAAGTGGCTTTTAGAAAAATGAGGGCTTCAAGAAGCTAAATCAATATAAAACTTAACTAATTAGATTATTTCTAAAGCCTTTTTTTTAATAAGTGTCTAGAAAGTTGGAAGAATTTGTTTGTAATTATATACAAATGATTATACTTGAAATATCATGACTAAAATTCAGTGTTTATAATTATATTAAGTATACCTAAAGTGGCATTTCCTAAAGTATATTAAACAAATTACCTCCACCAGGAGATTCTTTCTAGGAAAATGAGAACTGAAGTCAAATAACTTTGTGAAATTTTGCATAAATAACCCTTCTTGGTGAGTTATAAAACAGTGAAGGATATTAGAGTCTATCAAACCTTTCCATGTGGATAATTGTTTATTTTTGCCAATATTTCCTAAGTAAATTTTCTTCCATATTTTAAGTTAAAAATATTAATATCACAGAGAATATGGTTTTGCTAGGTCATCTTAAAGAAAAATTACTAAAATGGTTTAGTCGTAAAATTACCATTCCTACTAGCTAATTGGGAACCCTGATAGCGTAGTGCCTAGGGCACTTTACTGCTAGCCAGATGGCTGGTGGTTCAAACCCACCAGCCACTCCTCTGAAGGAAGGTGAGGCAATCTACTTCCATAGTGATACCACCTCGGAAATCCAAGGAGAGGTCGCGATGAGTCGGGTCTGACTCCACAGCACATAACAACAACAACAACAGTAGCTAATTATTATACTTTTATAATGTTCTTTAATGATGTTCATTAAAGAGGTCTTTCTACAGTCTTTCTAAGTCTTTTCTATAACAAAATTAAAAACAATACCAAAAAACACAAAACCTTAACTGAGAATGTTGTTGTTGTTATGTGCCATCAAGTCGAGTTGGACCCGACTCATAGTGACCCCTCCTTGGGTTTCCAAGGCAGCATCACTAGGAAGTAGATTATCTAACTTTCCTTCCCAGGAGTGGCTGGTGGGTTTGAACTGCCAGCCTTCTGGTTAGCAATCAAGTGCCTTAGGCACTACGCTACCAAAGCTCCCTAACTGAGAATAAATAGTATACCAAAGCATAATGCTGTTGAGTTTATTTTACTCACAGCAATCCTATAGGACTGAGTAGAACTACCCCATAGAATTTCGAAGGCTATAATTTCTATGGAATTAAACTGCCACATCATCCTTCTACAAAGCAGCTGGTGGGTTCAAACCACCAGCGTTTCAGATAGCAGCTGAGTACTTAACCACTGCACCACCAGGGTTTCTTGAGAATACTACAGTAAATAGAAAATATAGTAAAAATATCATTCCTTAAAATAGAGGAAATGAATTGGAATTTTAATTGTCTTCCTTCCAGTAAGGAATGGTATAAAAACTCCTTGTCACTATGTTTGTATCAATTGCAATTCCACCATGTACAAATGTTCAGTTAAAGGGCATACATAGATTTTCTAAGAACAAGGATTTTCCCTTTCATTCCACATCATTTATTTATTTCTTTAAAGAAACAGTTAAATTTCTATTGGATTCATCCTTGATTCTTTTTTTTTTTTTTTAATTGTGATTTGGATGAAAGTTTACATAGAAAATTGGTTTTCCATTCAATAATTCATACACATTTTGTTTTGTGATATGATTGTAATCCCCATCATATATTTTTGAGAACCTAATTTTCTGATAATTTTGGATATTTCATATTTGTCATTTATTTCTTTGTATTCTGACAACTTTTTAATGAATTTTTAGTAAGAAGAAATATTTTTACAAAACAAATACAAAAAAGACCTTTGTCCCATCGAGTGGTTTCCAATTCTTAAGGACCCAGTGCAACAAAATAGAACTGTTCCATAAGGTGGTCTTTGCTGTAATCTTTGCAGAAGCAAATCTTCAGTTCTTATGACCTGGCAGAGTTTCTGGGTGGGTTGAGACTGTCACTCTTTCAGTTAGCAGCCATTGTGACCCCAACCAAAAACCAAGACCACTGCCATGGAGTTGATTGTGACTCATAGGCTGATTACTCATAGGTTGATTACGACTCATAGGTTCATTACAACTCATAGGTTGATTATGACTCATAGGTTGATTACTACTCATAAGGTTTCCAAAGCTGTAAATCTTTACGATATCAGACTGCCTCATCTTTCTTTTGTGGATCAGCTGATGGCTTTTGATTAGCAGCCAAATATCTTCACCACTGCACCACCAGAGCTCCTTTTGTGGTGAAACCATGCTTGTTAAAAAAAAAAAAATTACAAAAATTAAATTTTAAATATTTTACCTATTGCTTATACAAAAAACGCAATGCAACACACTGCCGTCGAGTCAGATCTGACTCATAGCAACCCCTCCTTGAGTTTCCGAGGCAGTATCACTAGGGAAGTAGATGCCCCAACTTTCCTACCGAGGAGCGGCTGGTGGGTTTGAACTGCCAGCCTTCTGATTAGCAGTCAGATGCCTTAGGCACTACACCACCAGAGTTCCCCTCTTGCTTATAGAGCTTTCATTTATTGAAATTTATTCTACATTAAGATAACTTCAAAAATCTTATTCATAAAATTCTGTTTAAGAATATTTTACTACTAAAATATTGATTAATAGTAAATTATAAGAGTAAATATTTTCAGTTGTGACAAAATAACTTGAGTCAGCTAAATGTTGACTTAAATTTTGATCATGTAGATGGCAAGCTCATGCAAAATATTTTATACTTCCTATTGCAGGGGGTGGGCTGTGAAGAGTAGTTAAATGACTTTGAAAGCATAATCATTAGATAAAGAAAACTAAATACACATCGAAAGAGAAAATTTAAAGTTATGGAAACCTGTAACTCCTCACTTACCTCACATTAAAATATAAATGTAATACACATATATGAATGACTTTGATATCAACAAATAGCTATAATGTGAGATTCTCTTGATGCATAGCTTTCCTTTTTTTAAATTCCTGCCCCTTTTTTTTGAAAACTCATGAGCCCCATAGGAGTATAAAAGATTGTTCTCTGTGATTACAAAGATGCACCCATCTGGGAAGTGGGTAGCAGTGTTTCTAGTTTGTTACTTTCATTCTTAAGTTCTTTCCTTCCATTACTGTGGCATATATTCTCAGAAAACTATTTTTGTATATTATTTTAGACCTCCATATAGAGTAATTCCAAGCTATCAAATTCCATGAGTTACCATCTCTTTTAAGTGTGGTTTTAAGAATCCTCAACTGGGCCTTATTTTAATTACCACTCTCCTTTTAAGAGTTTATTCTCCCAGTCTTCTAGGTGTTTATGAGAAGAGGGCAATTCCACTACTGGTCACTCAGTTATAAACAAAAACTATACTCTCTTAAATTAATTCATGGATTTCTGAAGATCTTAGAGTCAGGCCTTCTGGTCATCTTTCCTACCGATCAAAGAGGAACTGGAATCTCTGTAAAATCAATATTCTTGATACCTTCCCAAGAAGAAACAGTATTTGAGAATGTTCTACCCAACCCCCTACTCCGTTTACAGATGTATTCACACAGCTTGGCTGCTTTATTCCAAGCAATTAAATACATTTGCCATTGTCTTCCAATGACTCTGGTCCACATAACAAATCTGCAACAGGAATTTTTGATTCATTAAGGATCTGAATATCATGCCTTGTCTGTTCAATTCTGAATAACTAATTTATTTAGTAGATGAGTGAGGAAAATGACACCCTTGCTAGGCAGAAGAATTGCATGTACATGGCTAATATTACATATAGTTTTCAAGGCCAAACTCACTGCCATCCAACTCATAGTGACACTGGAGATCAGAGTAGAACTGTCACCCTTCCCCATGGATTTCCAAGGCTGTAAATCTTTATGGAAGTAGACTACCTCACCTTTCTCCTGCAGAGAAGCTAGTGGGTTCAAACTGCCAAACTTTTCATTAGCAGCTGAATGCTGTAACCACTGCATCACCAGAACTCTTAGTTTCCTGGACAGGTTGACACAAATTTGGTAATTAAATATAGCTCAACCAGCATATGATGTGCAACCTCATATACATGGTATATGTGAAAATTTATTAATCAAGCCAATTATTTTACTTTCTACTAAACAAAACAAAAGGAAAGCCCCCAGACATAAGGCTGAATAATTCAAGAATTGAGGAGTAGCACTGTATTTCTTACTCGTAGACCCCGGAGAGTTTATCAGATTCAAAGTTAAAAACCAACAATGAGTAATGTGATTCTCCCATTCCCTTTATCTCTATCTTGAGATAGGAAAACACAGCAAATCCAATCTATTCAATTGCCAGAAGAACATATCCATAAATCTGAACAACTGACTTATTGATTTAGAGTTTTTTCTAATTTATTTTTAAACAATCTTAAGGCTTTTATAGGAAAATAAGGAATGCAACAGAATTAACATAGGAACATACTTGCAAAATCATTTCCCCACTCTCCTTGTCAAAAATATATCCCTAAGAGTGGCAGTTTAGCTATAAAAATGTTTCCAGATGAGTTGTAAATGAATAGAAAGGAGATAGTCTCTCATCCCCTTATATCTATTGAGAGCGTCTCTGAACTTGTCCTTGCCCTTGCCCTTCAGGCGCACAACATTAGTTTCTCAGAGAAGAAAGCAAGATAAAGTTAGAACCTCTCACCATGACATGACTGAACCCTATGTTCACATTTTGCATCACCATCCCAAGGTAATAAAGGAGAATTCAAAATTTACAGGATTTCATGTGCAACCCTGTGAAAAAATGGCATGAAATAAGGAATGGAAAGGTAGAAAGTAAGTGAGAAAGACTCAAGGAATTTTCAGGAAGAACAACTAGGAAATGTATCTTCTTCTGGAAGTCTGGGAGATTTTTCAGACAAAATTGTCAACTTCCTGATCCAAAACTTCATTTATCTTTTTTCTTCTGTGATAACTGACAAAGTAGTAAGGGATTCTTCTCTGTAAAGTCCCACAAATCCAAGGCAAAACCCACTGTCATCAAGTTGATTCTGACTTACTGACACCCAATGGGTTTGCAAGGCTGTAAACCTTTATAGAAGTAGATTATCTCATCTTCCTCCCACAGAGAAACTGGTAGGTTTGATCCACCAACCTTGTGATTAGGAGACAAATGCTTTATCCACTACACCATCAGAGGTGCTTTTAAGGTCACAAAGGGATAGTCAAAAGATAAGAAACTCTCCACTTGAGTTCACTCATGGGTCTTTGAGTGCCCCATCAGCAGTCACCTAAAACTATGTCATCAGTATTTTCTATCCTTTTAAGACATATCTCCTGCTGATATCAATCCCTCTAATTTTTATCTAATAATCTCAATACCACTCATTTAAATCCCTGTAGTCAATGGTGTAATATCCTCCACAGTGACCTCAAACATATCAAAGATCAAACTCCATTCTTTTATACGTAAGGTTACCATGAGTTGGAGTTAACTTGATGGCAACTAACAACAATAGAAAATAATATGAGGTACAGTAAGGTTTGGGTAAAGAACTCTGGTGCCACAGTGATTAAGACATTTGGATACTAATCAAAAAGTTGGTGGTTTGAACCCACCAGCTGTTCCTAGGAGAAAGATGAGGCAGTCTGCTTCTATAAAGATTTACAATGTTGGAAACCCAATGGGGCAGTTCTACTCTGTCCTATAAAATCACTGTAAGCTGAAATTAACCCTTTGACAGTAGGTTTAAAGCTTGGGTATTGCCCAATTCATATTCTAAAAATTCCTCTGCTCCTTTATAATGGAAGGGGGAAAAAGTCTATTTTAAAGAGAATATTTTAAATTGTTAGGAATACTGAAGTCTATCCAATTGAATTTTAGTTCACAGGGTTCAATTACTCATAAAATGAGAAAACATAAATAAAATAAGCAAAGCCACTGTGGATTCTTGAAGATGCAGTTTGTCTACTCTCCCTAATTCAAGCAATGAAGTATTTCCAGCAATGAAGAGGCAATTCTTGTGGCACACTGAGTTAACACAAAAATTAAGCTTACAATTTTAAAAGCAAATTACACTGAATACAACAAAACAGGACTGTAATGACTACAACCTATGTTTGGAAAATTACCCCAGGAAAAAAATGAAATGACTTACTTGCAAGTAAATGGAAGTCCTTTATTCCTAATACATCTATTAGCACATTGATCTGCTGTGTTCAGTTTTTTGGTTTTTATCTTCAGTAATGGATCTTCTTTAATTAGAGTAGTTTTTGCTGACTTTTTAAATTCATGAAGGGTATTTCTTCTTTTCCTCTGTCCCTCTATTAAATAAAAAAGGGGAGGGAGATGAAATTCTTTTAAGGCTCATATATAGAAAATAAAATGTTTTTAAGGATCAACTACAAGACAATGCTTTTATCTGACAACCTACTAGACGATGGAGGAGAGGAGAGCAGTGTGGAGCAATGACACTCTCAGTTAAGAGGAAGAAAAGAATACTGTAACTGGGAAGAAACAAATAACTTGTCATGTAGTGTCACTGACCTACATTTTTTCAAATGAAAGATGCTTGTAAAAAATAGGGCAGAGTTCACTCCAAAGAAATACATAGCAAGATATTCGCCAAATAAAAAAAAAAAAAAAAGCAAATTCCACTGCTACAATCAAACTATGTCATGCTTTACAATTAAATTTTCTGTATCTTTCTATGATTAGTTCTTTCTCAAGTTGCAGTATTATAAACCAATTCAAAGGCAGGCAACAAACTTCTTACTAAAAACTCTGCATGGAATAAATTCTTCTGTGTTATTCTTTAAAATACTTCATACTACTCAAATTTATCCTTTCTTTTCTCATTTATTACATAAATGATTTTGGTGCATTTGGGCACTATTTCTAAGTATCACTGAACTGTTTGTCTTGAGATCAAGCCAAGTGCTGTAAATCAAAGGTATGTAAAGCTTCATCCTTTAATGTAACTATATCATTTTTCTTCATGAAAGTATCCTAAAAGGCCCCTAGCTAGCAAGGAGCAGCCTACTAAAACAGCTGAAAAATAGAACATCCTAAAAGACTTACTCTTATATTCATATTTACACTACCAAGAACTTGTTTCTTTATATTCTCAATTTGCCCAAAGTAACCCAGCTTGTAATAATGACCATGTTCACAATGGGGATCAAATGTCTCATATACTGCAGTTGTAGCGTATTGAGGATCGTCATGAATGTATCCCTCCTTCATCTGTCACTTCTCTTCAACACCTTCAAATAGAAGGCAAAATTAGATTATATCCATTTTAAAGATTAAAAAAACCAAGACTGAGTAGAAAATTAATTGACTATTTAGAAAAGTTCAGATTAAAAATACAGCTGGTTGGCTTAAGAATCCTCACAGTTAACCAACGAAGATGCCATCTTTCTTTAATAATTTGTAAGAATGTATGTGAAAATATGGTTTGCAAGCATTTTCAGAAGATTTGAGTTAGAGATATCAATGGAGAAGAAACTTGGACAGTAGAGCAAGAAATACATTTGGGGTCTTCATATGTGGTGAAATGTGTCAGGAAGAGAGAGACTTCTGTATTGAAAATTGAGAGATATGGTTAGCAGAATAAGGCACTAAAAATGGCATCATACTCTGTTTGCCAGCAACCAGTGGCTTCAGTTGGTTTATTAAACATGCAGACATTTCCCATTAATGTCCATCCTAACCTTAAGTCCACAATAAATTCTAATTCCTGGAATGATGCTTTAATCTTTTACTTTTTTTATTTGTTTTTGCCTTATGGGATGATAGCTCTGTCTACAATAGAGAGAGTTTAAAAGACATATTAAAATAGAAATTCAACCAATCAATCTCCTAATAGGCTACTTATAGAGTGTGGACCATGTGCTTTGCATACATTATGGCATTCTTATTGACTTGTCAAATTATCTTGTTTAATTACCTGAAATGCTAATACCCAGTTACTCAATCTACAAAATAGAAGTTACATTAACTTTGCATTCAAAGAATTTTTTAAACTATAATTATTGAGTAAATATTTGGATACCAATTTGCATAAAAATATGAATATGCAAAGTTTGGAAATTTCAGCCTACATTGTTGGCAGCAAAGAGACAGGAGACTCATTATCTTTTATAAAGAATGCGCAATTTTTTCCAAATATTTTCTGATACAGGACCTTGTTAATGGGAGTTAAGTTTCTCCATTAAGAGTTTCTTCTTCCTTTGACCTTATTATATGACATTCTAGGGGCTGTGAAGTATTTCCCAGCATAATAATCATATGTTTTCCCAAATAACTTTGATTATTTATTAGAAAAAAAAAACAGTAATTAATGGATGCAGAAGGTGTATTAAAAAAACAGTCCACTAAAATTGAGCAACATAAAATACATATTTCTAAAATGAATTCTGTTAATTAAAGTATGAAATTAAAATTAGTCTGAGGTAATATATTTATTATGTATGTTGAAGGGTGGCAGAATAACATAAAAGTAAATTTTAAAAAGCCTAGGAGAATCATTAAATTCATAAATGCATTGTACTAAGTATGAAATAAAAGAAGACCCCTGGTCTATGCCCTGGTTTCTTTAATAGCACAGAATATGTAGGCAAACAATGAGGATTATGTAGAGAAAAATGGCCCTATGGTATTGTTGGTTTGCTTCTTTCCACAGATCCTCAGTTGTTCTATTGAAATGTGTTAATATGTAGTTGTGCCTTATAAAAATAGTCCACCTTTATTTGTTAATAAGCTTTCTCAACCCTACCTTTCATCTAAAGATCAAAAAGCAGTCAAGAAAACAAATAAATCTATGATTTCCACTTACTAGATAATAAATGCCAGTGAAGAGGTTGACTGGCTCTACAAAGTTAATCAGGGGCAATTGAAACCATATACTAGGTTATACCCCTCACAGTTTACTTCCCATGACTTACAAGCTTTCCCTTATAATTCAGTCATTTCTACTAGGTCAGTAACTAATTACTCAAAAATGTGAAGTTGTAAGCAGTTGTCCACAATGTAATGCATTTATCTATTGTTTCTTCAACAAAAGGAAAATTCAAACAGGAGCCATTCAAAACCAGCATCTGAAAATAAAATTCCTTTGCTGAAAATAGTCTTAACTTTTTCTTCCATATGTATTAACAACTGATGTTTGTTTTAATGAAAACAGTTAAAAGCCAAGCTTAATTTGGGAAGAAACTCAAAAATATCTTTGGATCAGATTTTTCCTTACTATATTTTTGTGCATGACTGTTACTGAAGTTTATAAACAAAATAATGAAATGAAATCAAAGGGTAAGAGATCACTGCACATTTGTCATGCTTTCCTGGGCTTTACATGGCAATACTCTTTTCCCTTCTCCCAGTATTGAATACATTCTGAAAGCTATAGCTCCCCAAGAATGTGAAGTCCCTATTTAGAACTGAAATCATTAGGATCCTTGTGAAAACCTGCAAACAGAAAGTAGGGTCAAATGTATCAAGGTGCTTGAAGAAAGACACATTTCTCCCTCTGGTCCCTAGGCTTCACAATCATTTCTCTCAGTACCTCATATATTTTCTTCTGTGTGTGGACTAACCATTGACTTCAAAGGAAAATCTGTGCAAGGAAAGGATTTGCAGGGTGTGGAAAGAAGCAAGAATTTGCCTCTACACATTCTGAGAAATCTACCCCTATGATTAGTGATAGACAGCTTGAGGTGGCAAGATGTTAAGATGAAAGTACACGAATAATTAATGGAAGGGAATGATCGCAACTGGAAATTTTAAGCTACCCAAAGACAAGACTCATGGAAAAATGTTCAAATTTTTATTGTGAGAATCAAAGGCCTTGACTTTCATGAAATGACAACCACCTCTCCCTTTTCAAAGAGAGAAACAATATCAGAAATAAAGCTGTCAAAAGAAAAGGATTGAAGAATGATGTGAGATTTAAATCAAATATTTGTATTTAGAAACAGCACAATCATCTCTTCCCAGAACATTTACAATATAAAGTGATGTTTAATGAAAGATCAGGGTCCTCCCTAGATATTTTCCTCTTTCTCCTTCTTTCTGCTTCCTTCTTCAGGGTCTCATTGTTATAGGAGCCTCCTCCTAGTCTCTCCCTTCACTATCCATTTCTGCCTTCAACACCCCTTTCACACTGTAACTGAAACAACCAAAATAAAGAACAACTTCAATCAAGTGTCTTGTCAACTCATACACTTTCAATTGCTGCCATGATGTCCAGAATAGAGACACACAGTTTATCATCACATTCAAGCCTATCTATGCCACTTCAATATGATTTTCCAATCACAGGCCATACTACTCCCCATCCCATATCCAGTATTCTAGCCCCTCTTGATTACCTCTCCTTTCTAGGACAAAGCTTTCACTTTCTCACCTCTATGCCTTTGCGATTTTGTGTTCCTCTGACTTAGGGTACCAACCATGCTACCTAACCATCATTTCATGCTCATCTCAGGTGCCCTATACCCCCTAATCTTCCTTTGATTCTCTAAGCTAGAAAATAACTTGCAACCATGGTATAATAATATTTCTAATAAAAGATTTTTATCATATTACTTAACAAAATGGATTTTAAAAAAGTAATTTTCACTTGATTTTACTTCAGTATGAATAAAAGGAGCAGGCGGGGGAGATCCTACCTATTTCATTTACATAGATTTATAGATCTGGATATGGATCTCAGCTGTGTCCTTTAATTAACTATGACTATCTGGTAGCATAGTGGCTAAGGCACTTCACTGCTAACCAGAAGGCTGGCGATTCAAACTCACCAGCCACTCCTCGGAAGGAAGATGGGGCAATCTACTTCCGTAGTGATATTGCCTCGGAAACCCAAGGAGGGGTCGCTATGAGTCGGGTCCGGCTCGACGGCTCATAACAACAACAACAGCAACATCTGAAATAATAAGGTAACCTAATAAAAGCCCTTAAGTCTCAGTTTCCTCATGTAAAATGCTTCAATAATCCCAATTTTAGTAGAATTAAATAAGATTTATTTTTAGAATGTCACCCATAACCATAGCTCAATAAATGAAAGTTTCTTTCTCATTTGTTCACCTTTGTATTCCACACAAGCTCCTGGATATTAGATGCTCATTTAATACTTTTTTTCATTAGAAGGGATTGAGTATTTGCTTCCATTGTAGGTGGACGTAGAAAGAGGAAAATCTACATAGGCCACTTCCTACAAGGATGGCTTGAGTCTACTGTATTGAATATTTCTTAAGAAACTTTTAAATAATATATCTCAAAAGTATATTTTTTACAAAGGTGGTTGGCAATTTATTATAGTATCCACTTTTTTTCTAAAATTGTGTTATTTTACAATATATACAAATATAATCCTTGTAGTAAACCAAAAAGTATAACCAAAACACATAGCAGCAGAAACAACCAAAAAACAAACAAAACCCTCTACAATGTTCAATTAAAGATGACATTAAAAAAAGAATGAAACATCTTTGTATATTCTAAAGGGGGTGCCTATATCTTCTGCTTTGGAGATGTTTATTTAGACCAAAACAAAACAAAACAAAAAAAAAAATCAAAATATACTTGCCACCCAAACAAAGAAAAGCCCTTTTTTGATGATACATTTTAGCACTCTCCACTTCAGGAATTATTCACAGCATATCTGTAATTCCCAATTGGTCTCTCCTTGCCTGCCAACACACTCTTGGGCTGCATTCTCCCAACACTCAGGAAACGCAGTCATTTCAACATTGGCCAAAGTGAAATATAATTACAAATGTATATCTCCTGCCAAAACCTCGAAATGCATGCCAAAAAACAAATAGACATTGTCTATGGTTGATCTACTGTTTGGGTTTTCCACACTGTGTTCTCCCTTTCATTAGCACAGATGATTTCAGGTAACCATATTCTACTTCAGAACATCAACATTTTTGTCTTTAGAAATGAAAGCCTTCCAAATATTAACCATTATTCCAGCCATATCTTATGAGAATCATTTTAAAGTAGCACATCTCAAGCATGTTAACCTGCTTGCTATATAAAAAAGATTTGAACTAGTTTTTGTTTTTCACCTTTCAGAAAACTCTCTTACATGTTTTCAAATTGACCCTCCCCAAACAATGCCACTTTCCAAAAGGGCCACTTCACAAAATAGAAATCAAGTGAGTTGAATGACTTTTCTTGTCATTTAGTTCATTTTTGAAGTTTTAAACCTTTGGAATACATCAGAAAATAGACCAGAGGTCTGATAAATTTCATATTTAAATATCCCAAAAGAAAGAACCAGTTCTCTGTATTATATTTTAAAGAGACTATGTCTACCATCTGGGTATTTGTTCCATTCTTTTATTCCCCTCCACCCTGGAACCTCATTGCTTTCTCCCATTGATATTCTAGCCACTACAATGATAATACCACCAAGTACAGATGTTTCCTCCTGTCCTGATAACAACAGAAACTCCCAAAATCAACAAATGAATTCTGTAAACTACCAGGCAGTATGCATGCACTCTTAAGTAACTCCTCCCCAACATCCATACTCAGGGGAGAAAGTGGGAGCCTGAGGGGGGCAGTTCTTCAGCTTTCATCAAAGTCACAGTCACACATCTATGCAGTCTTTGCACCGCAGTTTCGAGAAGGCAGGCATCCATACCCAAAAAGGAGGAGATCTTAGAAGAGAGGCTTTCCCTTTCATTTTTGTAACACGCATATACTCAGAGTTTAATCTGCTTTCTCCAAAGGAGAAAACCTGTATAAAGTCATAAATTGGCCCTGAATGTTGGACTAGGGATGTGGAGTGTGGGTTGCCAAGGAAAATTGTCCTCTGGAAAAGGATGGTTCCCTGCTGTGCTGACCATCACTCTCCCCAGTTCAGAACAAATCTTCTCTTCAGATGTAAACTTGTTCAAACCAGCAAAGTTCCAGCAAGTGTTAACGCTTCATTCTTATCCCACTATCCACAATTATTAGGCTAAGTGAAAGTGAGGCGGGAGCAGTGTTGATTGGGGTGGAGGCAGGAGGCTGAAAGGAGGTTCATTATCATTTTAAATTCTTTTCAAACAGAAAGAGGATGTCAAAAGAATGCAAAAGGAAAGGTTGCAAAACCCCACGTCACTTGCAGAATTAAGAAAGGATGCTGGAAAGGTAATATAAGCAAGAGAGACTTAAGATAATAATAGAGATGAGAATAAAGAAGAGAAAACTAACCTGCAGAGGGGATGGCGATGGGGAGCAAAAGGAGGTGGAGGAGGGCGTGCTGCAGCAGCAAGACTGGCACAAGTTTGGTCACCCACATGGTGCAGGACGGGCTGGCGGACCCCACTGTAGGAGATGCCTGGGCGAGAGAGTCCTTCCGAGTCAGTGCCTAAAAAGCCAGTCAGCTCGGAGCTGCTTTTTATTGCGATGAGCTAAGTTTGTTGTGTGATTAACTGGAAAGATCTAGGTCTGAACTCCCTCTTACGGTAAGAAACTGTTTAACAACAGCCCTTCACTCTCTTCCACCCTCCTCCTTTCCCCACTCCCCTACCCCTTAAACAACACCAAACAGATCCCAGCCTCCCCCCACCGTCTTCTCTGCTTAGGAAAGAAATCTACAAAGAAAAGGTCACCTGGCCTGAGGCCAGCTTCAATTTGGAAGCAGGAGCTCCAGATCCCAGTGGCTCCTATCCGAGTAGAGAAGGGAGGAGCAAGGTTCAGCCCAATAGCTAAACCAAGGCACAGGCACAGGACCAATTCGCTAAATTTAAACTGGAAAATACATGTGTTTACACATCTATTTGGGAAAAGAGGAAGGGGAAGCAGCATATAAGAGAGCAAAGAGCCGCCTTTCAGCCAAATGTGCCCTATCTCCTACTCTGTCTAGTTTCATTGCTAGAGTCATCCAGGGATTCAAAATACAGACATTGGTTCCCTAGAGACCGTGAGAGGAGGAAGGGCAGCGGGCGAGAAGGCGGGGCCCAGGCAGGTCAACCGCAGGTAGAAAGAGGCCAGGTAAGAAAAGAGTGTGTGTTGTAGGGCAAAAATAAATGGGCAAAACAAAGCACCCACATTGCCAGGTGGGAAGTCGTCCCTGCCCCATGTGCCCAGAGCAGGAAAGTTCTTCTTAGTACATTTTATCAGAAGCTCCAAAATCACTACACATTTGTCCAAACTGCCTTACAAAAAGAAAGAAAAGGCTAATTTGGGGTATGCAATAAAATCTGGTGATACTCTCTGTTAAAATAGCCGGGAGATTGACATCCCACCACCAATCCCTTGGGAGCTCTGGTAGCGTAGTGCCTAAAGCACTTGACTGCTGACCAGAGGCTGGCGGTGGGTGGTTCAAACCCACCAGCCACTCCTCGGAAGGAAGATGGGGCAATCTACTTCCATAGTGATATTGCCACGGAAACCCAAGGAGGGGTAGCTATCAGTCAGGTCCCACTCGACAGTAAAATAACAACCACCACCAGTCCCTTAAGGCAAGTATAACACGAACTGTATGTCCATGTTCACACACATTTTTACACAACCACACGTATGTATGTATGTATCTTCTAAGACTAACTTTCACTGGAAACTTACCAAGAATACTGACTGTGTCTGTCTTCTTCAGCTCCGTGCCCCTGCGTGTGCCCACCAGCCTCCCGAAGTCTAACTGGAGAGAAGAGGTGCACATGGGGAGATCATTTCCCAGACCGCTTACTTTATTCATGTATTTGTCTTCATACTTCAAGGTGGGTACTCTGATGAGGGAAGGGCTGACTTCATTTTCAATGGACTTTGGGGTGTTTTTGTCCTTGTGTATGTGTGTGTGTGTGAGGGGGTCACCAGCTTCTCTGTCAACAGAGGACGGGAAGGTAGGCAGAAAGTGAGAGTGACTCCAGACTAGTGCGTGACTGTGCAGAGCAGAAGTAGAGCAAAATTAAAGTCATCTGAAAAATTAGCCTTCCCACCACATTCATCTTTCTCCAACTCTCTTCCTTTTCCTCCAGCTGTCCCACTCCTATCTCCAGAAAATTCTACTGATGTGCTCCCACGTTTGTGGGATATCTAGAGCAACTTGGGATTAAAAGAACCACTTCTGAGAAGAACATGGTACATTTTTTTCTATTGTTAATCTTTCCTTTTTTCCATTTTCTCCTCATAAAAAAAAAATAAATAAATAAAAATAAAGTAAGCAAAATTAAAAATAATTCATCAACCTATCCCTGGTGTCCAAAGTATTCATTTTACTTTTAGTTTTAATTCCCATTTTTCAGTCATAGAAGCCTGTTGTCGTTGTTATTTGCCATCAAGTCGGACCCGACTCACAGTGACCCCTCCTTGGATTTCCAAGGCAGTAACACTACAGAAGTAGATTGCCCAACCTTCCTTTTGAGTAGTGGCTGGTGGGTTTGAACCAACACCCTTCTGGATAGCAGTCAAGTGCCTTAGGCACTGTGCCACCAGAGCTCCTTAGAAACCTAGATAAACTATTTTTTTTACATAAGTAACTTGCCAAAGATCCCAGAGGAACAAAGTTGGGGGTGTGAAATTCAAACCCAAATTGGTCAAAACCTGTAAGGTAGTAACTTTGTGTAAGTTCCATCAGCAAAAGAACCATTTTTGTTGTTGTTGAAGACATAACTGCCAGAATTAGCCTAAGGTCAAACACCAGAGAAACTCAGTAATTATTTACAAAATAATGCAGTAAATAAATATAATGTTGTTGTTGTTGTTATGTGCCGTCGAGTCGGCCCGACTCATAGCGACCCCTCCTTGGGTTTCCGAGGCAGTATCACTACGGAAGTAGGATTGCCCAACCTTCCTTCCGAGGAGTGGCTGGTGAAATAAATATAATACAGTACCCCAAATTATCATAAACCAGATAAACATATGATACAGTACCTATTACGCTATTAATTTAACTTGTCCTGAAACCACTTTCTTTTGTTTTCTTTCTAGATCATATTCACAGTGTTTTTCTCCATTCCCTGTCCATTATCTTTATGCTGCTTATATGTTACTTAAGCTATATAAATCCCCAAAAATGTGTCTGAAGGCTTTTTCCATAAATTGAAAGGTTTTGTAAAGAGAATACTTGGAATTGTATAATTTCTGTAATTAGTTAAATACAGGATGGATACTTATTGCCCCATGTAATATTTTAAATCAATCTTAAATTAAATTTGTCTCTATGTATGTCTCTATTTGTCTCTGTGTACACGGGAAGAGTTGAATGGAAATGGATATTACTGGTTTTCTTTCTTCTTCATTTTTTCTTTTTAAAAGTTGCACTAAGTTTAAAAAGAAAAAAAAAAATCTTTGCCTTCAAAAGCCCTATGTTTCTTAAGCATGAGTGATGTTTGTAGCAATATCAGTGAAAACTAATCTGACCTTGTGCTCTGCAAACCACTAATGACTTTTGTGCTCTTGAACTAGTCATTTCATTTATTAAGCACCTGGTACATGCTAAATATCATTCGGTTTGGTGCTATTACTCCTTTATACTCATATTAGTCAGACAACATGGTTTCAAATCTCAATTATGTCACTTTCAAACTGTGAGAAAGTTAAAGGTATTAGCCTTCCAATACTAACCCTAACTGAAATGGAACACTATGTGCCAGGTACTGTGCTGAACACTTAAAATGTACTATCTCACTTAATACTCCCCAGCTGCCAAAAATAAAAGGTATGAGCATCTGCTAAAATGGCATGATGAGGCAGCGTATGACCTCCTCTCCTCTAAAGTCACAAGGAAGAAGAAGGATTAATATCAACAGGCCAAGAAATGATTCCTGTGAGGCAGAGATCAGGCATCCCACTACCCTCCAACCTTTTTAACAATTTTGACACCCAATTGTCCCTCCCATGACACAGTCTACTTCTCTGCTGGGTTCGATAATTCATGGCAATGGTCACACAGAACTCACAGACACTAGTCATGATGATGAGTTTTATTAGATATATAACAGAATACATTTCAGGATCAGGAACACTCAGGATACAGTTTTTCTATTAGTATAGCCTTCCTCAGCCATGCCCAACCAAAGGCAGGTCTCTCTGTCTCTGGCCCTTGACCTTTGATTCTTCATCCCCTTGACTTTGTCTCTGTTTGGGCAAGTGTTATAGAGCTCTCTTAGTTTTGCCAATAGTTTCCTCAATAAACACCCTCTCTGAGAGCAAGGCTCCTACCCAAGGGCACTCAGCTTTATTGCTCTGTGGGCTGGGAAGCTGAATGCTCTGTCTTGGGCTGGTCTCTTGGTTCTGCTGTCTCTGTTACCATTTCTTGCTGTCTCTCACAAGGTGTTCTAGGTCTCCTCCTATTGGAGCTCTTTCTCTGTCTCCTTGGTCAAGGAGGTTCAGTGCAGGGATCTCCAGGCCAAAGGATATCTCCACTCCTGGCTCTTCCTTGTGATAACAGTGAGATCCCTCTGGGACGACTCATTTTAAGCCTTGTGGGATGGCAAAACTGACCAATCCCCACTTTAGGATCCCATACACCCTATTTGCATTGGTCCACCCCCACAAAGGTGTCATATATATTTACATTATTAGCAAGTATTCCAACACCCTTGGTGGGCCACAAGCACCTTATATTGGCATAGTCCTACCAAGTCGTCTGGTGGGAGTCACAAAAAAATAAAAAAAGACCATAGCTAGAAGGGCCATATCAAGTATTGGCCACACCAATTTACAGCACCACAATAATCTAAAAGCTATACATTTTTATTGTCATTAATTTATAGTAAAGGAAACCAAAATTTAGAAATAAACAACCCACTTTTGATAAACTGCTAATAAAATGTGACTCAAAACAATATAGTCCAGATCTCAAGTCACTGCTTTCAAACATTATGCCACGTTGAAAGAGATTCAGTTCAAAAGACTTCTTCTTGGCTTTCCTTCCAGTTTAAAATTTTATTTTTCTATTTATCTAAATTTTTTAATAGTCACCATACTACTTCAACTTCTAAGAAGCACTTGTATAACCTTTGGCATTGTTTATCTTTCTTTCTTTCCCTCTTTTTTGATCATCCTCTAATTTTTATTTTCATTTAGAACCCCTGCCACTGAAAAATTAGTGTTGAGTGCCTTAAATGTAAGGAATATTGCAAAATGAAAAATAATTTTTATTAATTTCCTCAATTATACAGCTAACAGACCATGTGCATAAAATATTGGTCAAACGCATGAAGTAGTCTTACTTTACATCCAAGGTATCTTTAATAGGACCTCCTAATGAAGACAGAATATATATCCCATAGATAGAAGACGGTTATTGTGTAATTACTGCAAATATGTTTCAAAAACCATTTAAAAAGTGTGTCTATTCTGAGCACTGGCTCAACTAAACATTAGATCAGAGAGATGACCTTTTTATGTAAGTGAAGCAGTTTCAGAGAACATAATATGAAACAGCAGTTGCAGTAATGATCACATATTTCTTTGCAAAATTGTTCAAAAGTGGGTATAATGGTCACACTACAA